GGGGGGACTCAATGTCGTCCTCCTTACCACATTGATCCGGCTCTGCTGCATTTATATCCCTCTCAAGTTCAGATTATTCCATGTTTTATTGGGCCACACCACACGCACCTGTTTGCCATTCCATGACACTTGAGATTGAACTGTGACCCAACTGGCAATCAGGCAAAGTGATTATTTTCTGAATGCTAGTTAATTTTGTTACGATCATTCTTCGGCTGTACTCACTCTGCCTATAATTCTATTGTCCTGCTTCATAATGGAGCATGAAGCATTTGGAAATATCTTAAGTGTTATGTGCTGTGTAACCGTAATGGTTCAGAGCGATCTCACGTTAACTGTTTGTTTTCTTGTTGATTTCAGGTCAACTGATACCAGTGCTTCTGAGGCTGCTGGGGTAATGAAGAAAATTTCTCAGATTGCTGCAGCAAGGTACTTCACTAATGATGTATTTCACATGTTGAATTTTTAATTAGATATTCTTAATCATTGTGCCTTAATTGATACATTTCATTGTATTTCAAATTCCTGGCAGGTATCAACTTGCGTCTCCTCAACATAAAGACGAGTCAATCCCAATAAAAAAAACCCGATGGGATATGAAAACTATGCCTGCAAAGACTGAGGATATGAGTTACAGAAGTGTGTCAGGATCTGCGAATGTCAAAGACAAAGTCGTTCAAAAGAACCAAAGTGATAAAGTGAAGATCATCAGTGAAACCGGGAAGCCAAGACACAAATATACCAATTTGTTACTGGGAAGTTCACTAGACCCAATTGTGTCAGAAGCTTCCAGGAATTTGTCAGGATCTTCAAACAATAGAGAGAAACATGTTCAGAAGGACTCAAGTGATCAAGTGAAGAAGACTAGTCAAGAAACTAAGCCTGTCAAAAGTTCTTCAGACACCAATTTGTTATTTGATGTTTCCGGAAGTTCTCCAGGTTCCTCAAATACTTCACCGTGCTATGCAATTGTGTCCGAAGATCCCAATAATTTGTCAGGATCTTCTAACAAGAAAGAGAAACACGCCCTAAAAGACAAAAGTGATCAAGTTAGGAAGACTAGTCATGAAGCTGAGCCTATCAAAAGTTCTTCAGACACAAATTTGTTATTTGATGTTTCTGGAAGTTCGCCAAGTGCTTTAAATACTTTGCCCTGCAACACAATTGTGTCAGAAGATCCCAGAAATTTGTCAGGATCTTCTTACAGGAAAGAGAAATATGTTCAAAAAGACAAAAGCGATCAAGTAAAGAAGACCAGTTATGAAACTAATCTTGACAAAAGTTCTTTAGACACAAGTTTGCTCCACGGGGTATCCGGAAGTTCAACAGGCTCTTCAAACAATACCCTTGTTAAAGAGAAACCTGTCCAGAGCGATATAAGGAATGCCAATATTTCTCAGTTGAAGCCTGTCTTAAATCCTAGTCAGTCCCTGCCTGTTACCAAATCTGTACAACTGTGTACTAGTCAGAAACAGAAAAGCAGTCAAGAAACTTCTACTCAGGTAGAAAAACTAAGTCAAGACAATGTCTCCAAATCAAAACCCGTAGCAAATTCGAAGTCTGCTGCCCAGACAGAGAATAATGAGACAAGCACCAAGTCCAAACCAACCCTTGATACCCCTGAACTTCATAAGCTTAAGGAAAAAAACAGATCATCAAAATCTAGCAAAGTCGTACATGTACTGAAAAATAGCACTATTGATGAGGAACTGCCACCTGAACCAAGTAACAAGGAAGCGAAGAAATCTAAAAAGAGGCATGATAAAAAAGACAGCAGAAGAGAAAGACGATCAAGTGACAAGCATGAAGTCAAGAGTAAAGAAAACAAAAAGGAGAGGCATAAGTCCAAGCATAGTTCAAAGGAGTTGTTTTCCCCTGATGTACCAAGAAAAGAAAGTGAAAAAGTTTCTCCTGATGTTTCAAGAAGGCAAACTGCAACAGTGAGAAGTGTTGGACCATTTGAAAGTGTTGAAAATGCTAGCAAAAATTACAGGAAGAGTGCTAGTGTTTACTACCCTCCTAAATTTAACTCTGATTTTAGGATACCAAAAAAAAAAGTGGTATTACCTAATCCATTGCGAGATACTTCCGATGCAAATGACTTGAGATTACCAGCCCAGGATAAACCTGAAACATGGTTGCAAAAGGTGCCAACAAAAAATATCTTACCTTCCAACTCAGCATTGAGTACTAAAATAGCGCCCAAAATAGTAGTCAGACGAAATTCCAATGCAAATCCTGATGAAGCTTGGAGTGTAGTCCGAAATCCCCCTGAAGAAAGCTCTCCAACCCAGGTCAATAACAGGAGGAGTAAGCGAAGTGAGGTTGAAGATATTTTAGAAGGTCGGACCCCAATTGACATGGATGAAGAAGTTCAGGTTGCTCGAACAGATGCCAAGAAGCAACGGTCAAAGTCGGTCACGTCAACACCTAAATCTTCAAAAAGAAGAAAGGTTGGAAGTGATGATGATGAATGGACTCCTAGGGGGGTCAAATCAGGAGGCAGAAGAAGCAGATGTTCCAGTAATAATTCCTCTAAACCTGCATCCCCTCCTAGAACTGGCGTTGCAAGTCGCACTAGGAGCCGCACAAAATCTCCTTCGAGGACAGCTCAAAATGGTTTTAGTGGCAGGTATTCCACATCCGAAGATGATGATGATGAAGATGAGGAAGAAGAAGAAGAAGATATAGAATATGGTAGTAATTGGACCACTGCTAACATAACTTCCTGGATTAACAATTCAACTTCATCGGACCAGTCATCAGCTGCCCCCAAGGCATCAGCTGCCCCCAAGGCATCAGCTGTCTCCAAGGCATCATCTGTCCCCAAGGCATCAGCTGCCCCCAAGGCATCAGTTTCGCCCAAGGCATCAATCGCCCAACAGGCATTAGCTGCCCACCAGGCATCGCAAGCGCAAGCCTTAAGAGATATTCAGCAGAAGAAAAAGATTTTCAATCAGAGTACTGAAAATTATATTAAAATTGATGAAATTACTTCTATAAGAAGAGATGTGCCTTTGAATAATGTGGCTGGAAATACTATCTCTTCCTCTAGTGGAAGAAATATTTCACCTTCTGTATCTTGTGTGGTTGAAATGTCAAAATCATCCACTGTTTCGAGAGAAAGTAATGTCAGTATTTCTGCAGTCACTCAAAATTACGTAGAGTTAGACGCCTCTGTTCTATCTTCAGCTGTTCAAACTGGCAGAACTGAGAGAAGTCCTCCAGCCTTGAATACACCTGAGTTGACTGTACCTCTATTACCTGAAGCAGATATTGAAATCATCTTAGAAGATAACCAAGAACATGCTGGAAGCAGATCTGAGATAGAATTAATTAATTTGGAGGAAAGCTCTGGACCAGTCAACACAAACAAACCGTTTGTAGAGTTATGGAAGTGCTTGAAAGAATTTGAGAAGCACTGTTTTGAAGATTTAGAAGATTGTTTAAAATTGGCTGTTGGTTCCATTTCTACATTTATTGAAAAAATAAATGAGGCTGAGCAACTCAGAACCAAAACTAGGAGAGATGAGCAGTACTCCAAATTACGCAAGGAATTTGTCCAGGGAGTCAAAAAAGGATGGAAAGATACAGAAAATGTCCTTAGTAAAATTGAGGAACACTTTACCAGAAAAGATTTGTTTATAATTCTCAGGAAGAAGCTTACCACTACTAATGATTTAAGTGATCCTCAGAGTTTTGTGGAAGATCTTGGAAAACTATTCTTATTAGTTACCACACCAATGCAGCTTAAACAAAACTACTGTGGTGATACAGTTAATGTGGCTGCCCGGTTATTTTTAATACATAACACCAAGGAAGAGTATCTCAACTCATCTGCTGCATCATCACGGGCAGCCCAAGTAGATGTTGCACCAGGAGTGGTTGATGAGGTATGTCGTTTATTATTTTTCTGTGAGTCTGAAATTGTTTTTTTAATGTATTAATGATCCGTAATGTCAGTCTTCTCTTGCTCCCTAAGATTCCACGAGCGCCATCAAGGGACAGTGGCATCTCAGATTTTGGGGTAAGATCACAGTTTGATGCTAAGGATTAAGTTGTCTTGCAAAAGCTTAAATATATTGGTTTAGGTACAGGCTGTAGCTACTTCCAATAGCCCAATTCCATCAGTTTCACCAGACCGAGAGGTCAGACCCCTGAAGCCCTTGTGCATAGTGTGTTCGGCCAGTGCCCAAATCAAATGCTCAAATTGTATAGACATATTTTATTGCTCTATGACATGTCAGGTGAGGACTATTTTTTTAATGTTTGTTTTGTTGTTCTGTGGGATTTACTGGTACAAGTTGTAATGCTATTTTTATGTTTATCCTGTTTCAGTTATCTCATTGGCAAGATGATCACCACAAGTCTTGCCGGAGGCGTTAAGTTACATTGTCAAATGTAAATATAGTATGCATGATTTGTTTTGTGCCTTATAGTATAATTACATAAACCTATGTACCTGCTTAGTTGTAGTTTTGTTACCCTTATTTTTAAATTTCTGTACATGTTTGTAGATAGGCTATTTTTATTTTTTCAGTTGAGGTCAAGTTTCTTGTTTTGTGAAACTTAAGGTTTGCAAGATAATTTAAGTTTCATGTCAATTAAAATTTTGTTTAGTTTGTTCCTATTTTCTGAAGGTTGAACAAACCACATGTTTGACCTATCAGACATATTGATTTTAAATCAGTTTCTGCATGTTTTCATATTTTATTCCAGGTATAAGTTGTGTTTGTCTTTGCAAGCCATTAGAGCTACAGAGCTGAGAAGATGGGAATAAAAGATGTATGCTTCTTTTTCAGACATTAAATTAGCTGAAAGGTTATTAATATTAGTTTTATAATATTCAATTCATCTTTGTTGAATTTGTTTCTCCTTCGATGCGCGCGAAACGAGACGAAAGGGGGAAGTCTTACCAATATGTTCCTTAGAGTTATTTATGCTAAATGAGTAACAGTACAAAAATTATCATGGCTGTGATGTCTCAATGAAAAATTATGTCATTCTGTTATACAAATTGTTTGTGCTTAAGTATGACTCATTCATATGGTCCACCACTTTACATAATCAATTTTATTTTATGTAACACATAAGTGACTATGAAGCAAAAATGTGCAATAAACATCATTTTTTTTTTTACATAATAGCTTATAAATATTTGTCAACACAGTAATCCCTAAGTTACATATAGTCAAAAGTTACTGCACTGCCCTAACATTTATCTGTGTTCACCTTATCATTACGTAACATTAGTTTGGAATCACTGTTTCAGAAGTCTGATACTCGCCCTTTCCTTTCCCAGTCTCCATATCGTGTGGGCTCTGGTCCTTTAGGGCCGCCAACTTCGCCTGTGTTCGGATTGGTGTTATCAGGCCAAGGTGTCAAAGGTTCCTTCTCCTGAAAGGGATGTCTGCCTTCCTCTAATTCATCTAACTTGCCTGAAACATTTTAAAAAAAGCACAAAATTACATAATAGGAGGAACAGATTAGGGGGTGCATCAGTTTTACTATCACTATTCAAAGAACTCAACCCCTTTGTCAGAGAATACCTCAGAAGAGTTAAATTCTTGTTGTGCTGATAGTACAGGGCTATCAATAATTTTTCCCATTTGTTTTTCAGTCTCATTCACTTGTCAAATCAATGCATCTGTAGTATAGTCCAGCCAGCCAAAGGTAACGCCCAGGTTTGCTGTAGCCACCCATAAGAGCCCATGCCCATGCTACCCCAGGCGTCACCTTTGACTGGCCGGATTATAGTGCATAAACCTGCAGGAACATGCACTAAGGCACACTATCATGCCTTTCTTAGAATTTGTAAATAGTTGTGTCTAAGTTTGTATACGCAAAGAGAAAAAGAGTGCCTATAAAGTTCTCCAAATTTATGCTCAGCCAAATCCTCATCAGATTCTATTGCTGTCAATTTCTAGTCACATCCAGTGATTTTTCAGTCGCATCTAATCATATACTCACTGACTTCTAGCCAGTGTACTCTGGGACGTACCCCTCGCGGATAGGACACCACAACATGGCGAGGAAGGGAAGGGTGCAGTTTACAGAAACATACAATCAATCATACATACCGATTGGAGTCTTGACACGTAGTTTCTTGGCAAGATTAGCTGCCTTGCACGAATCATCAGAAGCATCTCCTGAAGAAGGAGCATCTGACTGTGATGCATTATACCTGAGAAGATCTAAACACAAAACAAAAGATTTAAAAACGGGTAAAGGTTTTATTTGGGTAAAGCTCCAAAATCATTGTAAACTTCCAAACTAAGAATTCTCGATTAATTTTTTTTCTTTTTCTCTCTGGCAGGCTTTAGTTGAAACTACATAAAAGAGGTTAGGGCAGTTAAACTTACTCCGAACGATACTTCTTCCAACCAGAACTCTTCTAATAGACGTAAGGGATGCTATATTCAACATTTTCCCCTTGCAACTGAGCTGACACAGTCCTGTTAAAAAACTGTCGACGAGAAAAGTCAGCTGTGCTGTAAGTTTGGACTGTGGTTCGTTTGTTTAGGCAATTTTTTGCTTTTGGTTTTTGGTCTTGACGTCTGCCTGGCGTCTGCTAGCAGAAGAGAACCGGATGCAGTAGTCATTACCAACATACAACTGGAAATTGTTACATGATCACGTAACGCGCTGCTAGTCCACAATCTTATCATCAATCAACGAAATAAAAAAACTGTCGATAGTGAACGATCCTCATTTCTTGCCTTTTGATATGATATAACCCATATGAGAGCAGAACAGAATAGACAAAGAAAAAGTTGGGAGGAACGTTTCATATTGACAGCTTGTGTTGTGTGTAGTGTGGTGCCTTCTCAAAGATGGCTACTTTTTCGCAAGTGTTTTTTGTCAGAGGAACTTTTACTGTGTTATTGTAACTTATCTTCGTGTCCTTCTTGTTGGATTTCTTTTAAGTCTCCGATGATTCCTTAACACTTCCCGTTCTTTTAAAAAGTGGGACAATGAATTGTCACCAAATCCTCAGCGGAGCCTGTAATGTAGGTGACCGCTGCTTTGCTGTGGGCAGTGTTGAAGGGATTCCTTTTACTGTAAGTAAACCACTCGGCGATTTTTCTTGCCAATTTGTGACGGGTCAGACTAACGGATAGACAAAATTTTCTTATGGCTATTTTCTTTGCGAAATTGTTTGGTTAGGTATGATCACATTAAGAAGAGGTCTCAAGATGGCGCTAGTGCTAGTTGCCATTGTCAGATACATATTGAAAAATGGCTTTTTCCTTTAAGTTTCCTTTTGTCATTGCCTTTCTTATTGCAGTATAAGTTAACTGGAACCCTCGTGTAGCATGTTTTGTTTTTTGATCAATTTTATTTTCATTCCAACCTGTCACCTAAGCCCTAACCTACAATGACAATTTCAATTTTGTGTTACTTTCTCTGAAGTGTCTTAAGCTCTAGTTTTACTCTAATGCCTCATATTAAGTCAATTGTTCGATTGTATTTTATGAAAAATATTCTATTTTTATAAACTTTTCGACCACCTTGTTAAGGCTTGTTTTCTTATCTTGAAATGTAAACACTCAGGATTTTTATTTCTTATGTCCCTGTTTTGTAATTAACCAACAACTTAGTTATGTGTTTTCAATTATTTTTCAGGCTTATGCTGCGGGGTGTAACATTGTTATATTGGCGAGTACCTTTGAGCGTGTTCAGATTATTCCTGGTGCTATTCATAATTATATCCGGATCTCTTGTCTGGATTGTTCTACTGATACCGGAAAAATCGCTGCTGCTTATGAAAATCAAGTGTGCATATTTGAGCCGACACCTCTTATTCATCATACGTCGTCTCATGTAAGTTGGGTGCCTAGATGAAAATGTGTACAGTAGGCGCACAAAAGTCTCCTGGTAGGTGTTTTTTTAGAATATTTGTAGTAAAAATCTCAGGTTAATTAAAAGAGGTGGATCATTTCAATTTGAGGGTGTATACTTCGAGGTCTTCCCCACCCGCTTTCCCGCCGAACGACTCGAGTGGTCTCTTCCCCCTTTTGCTTTGTGGCTGTGTCCCGCCGGGACCCGTCCTGCCCCGCGACACGTCCTGCATTTGGCCTTGCGTTAATATCGGTCCATCCTCTGCCTCGTGCCTGCGGAGCCTGCGGGTGGCGCCGCGCCGCGGTCCTCGAGGCTTTGCTCTTGGGGAAATGAAATGAATTTGTCTTCCAAAGAACGTTCCTCTCGACCGACGCGACATACACACATCTGTTGGTTTCTGTTTTTCCAAGATGAGAGGATGACCGCTAGCTCGCCGTGTTTAGTGTGTCCAATATCTTATCTCGATGGGTCATGCCGGCCGCCACTTCGAGCGTCACCTACATGCATACCTATTGGGGCAATTAAGGACAGTCTGGCCTTGGTGTGGGGGGCGGGTGCAGGCTGAATCTGGGGGCACTGGGGGAGCGAGGGAAGTGCCACAGACAACAGTCCCCCTCCGCGGTGGAGACTGGTAGCGTATCTGCGGTAGGCACGTGGAGCACGACCTGCATCTCTGTTTGACTTGGCTCTGCCTCGCCCGCTTCGGGAGGAGTAGTACTCTGCCAAGCGTGCACCTGTTACGCCCCCCCCCCTCCCCTTCCCCCTTTCGTCTCGTTTCGCGCGCATCAAGGGACCCTTCACCCCCTTCCCTCCCTCCCTTCGCGGCCCGGCCCGCGCGGACCGGGCGCTCATCATCGTCCGGTTCGGAGACAGCCCTTTGGCATAGCGGGGCCTCGTAATTGTCAACGACTGCTGTCATGCCATCGGCGCCATGGGCCCGAGTGGCGCAACCGGCGCAACTCGGGCAGAGCGAGGGGCTGTTCATAAATTAGAGCTGGCTCATGGCGGACCATAAAAGTACGGACAGTTGTGGCGCGGCGTCGTCGCGCCCTCGCGAATCCTGCAACCAGGTCCTAGACGTTGACAGTTTGTTTTGGTTCGACTTAAAACTATTTCCTAATGTTCACAGCAATTGGATTACCGATGGGTTCAGACCGGTAGCCTTCAAACAGAATCACACATCAGTTCCCTGTCATGGAACCTGGAAGGCACCAGATTGCTTACTGGCGGGGAAGTTCTTCAACTGTGGCATCAAAGGCTAGATCCAAGAGCTGAAAATGATCTCGAGAATGGTACTTTCCAAACCTCATTTCCTTTTGGTGTAAATTTTTTGCAGCCTTTATCTTATCTTATTGTGTGTGTTTACCAGGTGGAAATTCAGGAGTTACTTTTGAAATTGGTGGGGAATCCCAGTCGCAGGCAAATCTCTCAGGACCAGGTGCTGATGGAGATGATGAAAACTGGCAGGGATGGGACTGTGTATGGAAGTGTCGGACTGCAACCCCAGTGTTCCACATGGCCTTCTCACCAGATGGCACCCTCTTTGCCACCTCAGGGAAATGCGACCGGCTTGTTAAGATATGGTTTGAAAATAAACAATGTGAGTCCTTTTGATGCAGTTTCCATTGACATCATAGGCAATTTAAATTTTATGACTAACCATTTTTTCTTTTTTTTTCTTTTTTAGTGTTGTTTCCCTCTAAAAGTGTGGATCAACCTCTGGGATACACTGGGCAATCTGTTGCATCTGAATTTAATTATGGCTTTGTTTATATTGCTCATCCTCGTGCTGTTACTCAAATATCATGGAGGAAAACTAGCAAATACATGCCAAAGTAAGCACATCTTCACTTGTGAATAAAAATAACTTGATTTTGTTAAAATTTGGTCAGTACCAATGCTTCATAATTTTTATGTCTCCAGGGGATCTGTATCAAACATGTTGGTGACATCATGTCGAGATAATATTTGTAGACTTTGGGTGGAGACAGTACTGCCTGATGATGGTCTAGTCAATATGAGTCAACTTGATCCTTTAGCAGCTCAGAATCCGAAGTTTCGCACGCACCGTCACAAACACCGCTTTATGCAAAGGCTCAAACACATGAAGTAAGTTCACTATCTTATTTGCATTCAGACATTGCACATGCTCCTCTAAACTAATACCTTGTAATTTCTTCAGAACCTGCTTTCATATAAGAAGACATGCCAAACACAACCATGGACGTGGGAGCATACCTGGATCTACTGGGCCAATCCCCACTTTACCATCTACATACAGTGTTCATGACTTCCACAACTATGGCTTTCATGGAACGGGTGTTACACCAGGCTTGCATTTTCACTTGGCTGCTAGCATTAATGGCGAGACTGGTAGGTATCTTTTCTTCATCAGTGGCGGATTAAGGTCCGGCTGACAGGGGGGGCGATGCACTGTCGGTTGCCTACATACAGGGGTTTTGTGGCGCGAATTGCCTACCTTTCAGGCGGCTCTCTAGAGGCGATGGGGGGGGCGATCGCCCCCCCCGCCCCCCCCCCTTAATCCGCGCCTGTTCTTCATAGTGCTCTGCTGTGTGAATTTCGCATCTGATACTTTACTAGTAATATGTTATTTGTTTGTTTTCTAAACAGATATTCCTCTGGTTCCTAGTCTTATTACTGGTGACCCTGAGAGAGAGCCTAATTTTATTTTGCACTGGCTTAATAACAAAGAAATGCATTTCACAATGCAGGCAGAAAACCTTCTTCATGAACTTACTCGCAAAGGAATGGAAAAAGAGGAGGGAGCTGATAGTAATCGAGATAGTTCAGAGCACCATGAATCAGAACATGATGACCGAGGAACAAGTAAGATTTTGTTCATTCCTTGTTTCTTGTTTTACTTACCCTCATTTTTTGCTTTCAAATGCCCTATCTTGTTCAATGTTTACATGTTTATGATCTAAATCTTTGTCTGACAGAGCGTAGGCCTGGTCGTGTAGGAAAGGCCTTATCCCAAGATGAAAGTGGAAGTGAGGAAGTGAGTGCAGCTCATCACAGTAGTGTGCCTTCTAGTGGTCCTCATAGTCACCAATCATTGAGGTAAATTTGAAGTTATAAACTGTCCCTTAAGATGAGCCCTTGGTTCTGGGGACCTCAGCTAAGATTATTTAATCATCACATTATTAATGATTATATCTAGTTCATATAGCATGATTGAGATCATATTTACTACTAACATCACTATGCCTTTGTTTTAGCGCTGCAACATCTATCAACTCACTAGCAACAGACACAGGACCTCCCTTAGGACAGGTACCAGATTTTTTAGAAGCCAAGATTGATAATTTGTTGAGGGATTGGCATCAAAGCCCAGATCTATTGTTTTCCATCCACCCAATAGATGGGAGCTTCCTCATTTGGTAGGTTGAACTCTTGTTTTTTTCTTTTTAATTATAATCCAATTACAAGGTATGTTTGTTTCATACTTTATCTTTTGTTCTCCAGGGTAGTTGAGTGGTTGGATGAATACCATCCTGGTTCATTTCGCCAAGCTCAAGTTTCTTTCTCAACACGCATTCCATCAGCATTTCCTCTTGGTGATGCAGCCACAATGTCAACAAATGTGTGCCTCTACAGGTACAGCAAGCTCTTTAGCTCTCTAGAAATTATTTTTGTCAGTTTGCTTTGTAGCTCAAAATGTTTTCTTTTTTTGACCACAGCCGTTGTGCTTTTGGGTTTTGCTTCAGCTCTTAAACATGTTACACCCTTTTCTAGTAAAGTGGACACTTTTGATAATTTTATCATGTGCTTTTCCAATTTCCAACTAACTGATTTAAAAAAAAGTGATTTGTGTTTTTATTATGAACATTTAGAATTAATAGCCAAGCATTCATGTTTTGTTTTAGCGCTTTTTCCGTTCTATTATCATACAGATATTTTCCTATCCATCAGTAACTTTTTCCATACACATGTATACTTCTTAATAAAAGCCATAATTGAACTCCTCAATTTTCCTTTGTTTTGATTTGTTTGCTTTGAATCCTTTATTTCAGAATGTATTGCAGCCTTTTCTTTCTTTTCCTTTTTTTTTTTTAAGAAAATATTGAGCCATTGATGAATTTTATCAAATATATATAAAGCCCATTTCCTACTTCAAAGCTCAGAAAAAAATACAGCTAGGTCACCATACTTTAACCTTCAATTAAACGCTTATTTTGCCGACAGTTTTGTGACTTTGCTCAAAAGAATCACTATGAATAGTCTAGAGAGAGGTAGTGCTAGCCACATCATAGCGATTTCACCTTAATTGACCATTTCTTACTGTCTTGTCTACAGCACTTCAGGATGCACACATCAGCTTCTCAGTACTTGCCTTCATGGAGAAGGTACAGCCAAGTCTCCATCATCAGCTTCGGCCATGGGTGTGGGTCTTTCAAATGGGGGAGGGACGCCTGGCCTGAATCCTACATCCCTTGATCCTGCTGCTGAAATGCCAACACCACTTCCCTGTGTAATGGAAGAAGAGCCAGATTGGACCCCAGGTATAGAATTTTTCTTCGTCAGAGTGAGAATATATTTTTTCCTGTGCTCTGCTGTACAATAATTTAAAAATGTTTTCCAGGAAATGAAACTGCTACTCCTGCAATTACCAAAACAAGTGCAAGTGGTGGAAGTAAACCACATGCTACTCCTGGCAGTCCACAGGGGGAGGATTCTGAACATGGCAACAACGTGCAAGACCTGATTGCTGGAGCTCCTTCCCCTGTCGCCTCAATGGTTACAAAACATTCCAACGGCACCCTAAATTTATGGCAAATAACCTTTGCAGATCGTACCAAATTTTCTCAGGTATACTATTTAATCTTGGATCCTTATTTAGCATAATCCAGTTCTACAGTATGTGTAATTTTACTCTTCTTCTTAGGTTTTGAGCATTGGCCACTTTTCTCGAGCTTCTGGCCACCGCTTCCGTGTAAATGATATCACTTGCCATCCAGTTTTGCCTCTTCTTTTAACAACGTCGCATCACAACCTTCTAGATGCTCCAAACTCCCCTGATGATGAAATAGGAGTTGAAGAGGGAGTTGACAAACAAGCAGCTCGAGCAAAAGGATTACCAACAGTAAGCAAATTCATTTGTTCTCATCAAAAGGTGTAAAGGTCCCCGTTCAACAATAATTAACCCATTTTATTTGTAGGGCTTTTGCAGTGAACTCATTCTTTGGAGGGTTGATGCAGTTGGCCCACTCTCCAAGTCAGGTGGTGTTTCTGAACTTGCAAGAATTAACTCTCCTGAAATATCAGCATTTTCTAATGTGGCATGGATACCCACACTTCTTCCAAGTACCACTTTGGGAAATTTGTCCAATTCCCCAAGTGCGTGTTTTGTTGCATCAGATGGAGAAAGTTTAAGGGTTTATCAAGCAGTTATTGATGCCCGCACTCTCCTAGCTGAAGTTTCATCCTCTGAGAGAAGAAGCAGGATGCAGGTACTTTTTTTCTCTTCTATTTTCTTTCTTTCTAAGTAATACCATTCTTTTCTCCTGTTTTTCTCAATCTTAAAAATAACATATTGGAACTATAAAAATAGCTGTTTATTTTCTTTCTTCTAGGACTCAATGGTTAGCTTGTCATCAGATGCCTCTTCTGATGATGGAATGAAACATTCTTCATTGCATGATCGCATCAAGATAGTTTCTCAACAGTCTACATCACGTCCAGGCTGCATCATTCAGTTAGATGCTATTGCTGATGCTACACATGTAAGCTCTTAACTTATTTGGCTTAAATCTCACTTTAGGCTATGTGATTTAAATTACTAAAAGGAAATATCATTTATTCAGGATTGGCAAAACACGCAGTTTTTACATGTTTTCCAAGAACAACTTATCACTGGGGAACGAGGGGATACCTCTCCTCCTACTATAGATTCAATGCGAAGAGAGAGTGACTTAGGGTTGATGGAGACACAGCTTGGTGCCATGGTTGATCTTCAACAACTTTCTGTCTTTGAAGAACCATTTTACATAGTGGTATTGGAGAGGGCTGGCAAGGGAACAACTGTTCACATGTGGCGCCTTGTAATGGCATCTCAACCAGAAAGCCATGGTACTTTAATGTTATCTTGGTTTTGATAGTTACAGATTCAGTCTAAATAATTTTCTAATATTCCTCCTATTTTTTCTTTCCAGAATTAACTGGGAGTATGATGTATGTACCAGACAGTCAGCTTGTTCAGGATGATGAAGAGAATGAATCTACAGGCCGCCACAATAGCACAACCACCACTACGGGTGAAATGAGAGATGATCGCCAAACAGGACCGATGCAAGCACCTCATGTTCTTATTACGACTACAAAGGTTGTATTTCCAATAAAAACCTTACTCTTGTCTCAAAAATATCTTAAAAGAAATACATGTTGTAATAACCTAAAATTAGATTAAAAAGACACAGAAAATTAACTATGAACTGTTTACATTTCTAGGTTTGCACTCAAGAATTGCCATTACCCGATGGTGTTGAAGTTATTCATGCATCTCCTGCTGCAGGACATCTTAGTTCTGCATCAATCTATCCTGCCTGCTTTGCTCCTTATATAGTAGTGACTGCTTGCTCTGATAGCACCGTGAGGTATGTCTCAATCCGGTGTTTTGTTTATGATGTATTAGTATTGCTGCTATGTGCATGTCTATAGAAATTCATTAATTTCCACAGATTTTGGAAGTGTAAGGTAACAAAATGCAATGGCTCAAAAAAGAGTTATGAATGGTGTGAGTGGGAAATGTTACGCAAGGATCAAGAATCAACTATTGATATATCAGGTACTTTATATATATTTCATCTGATAAATTTAATCTTATAATACTTTTAACTTTGATTCAATGCTTATATGTATATATTTTTACTGAAAAGGACAACCATTGAATATAAGTGCTGCATATAGTGGAAGAATAGCCTGTGCTTACAAATATGGAAAATCATTTACTCGTCCGTCCAAAAATGATCCCGATTCTAGATATGTTAACCTCTGCGTTGCCATTTATGAGTGTGAAAGTACTGGAGGTAATATACAGATTTGGTCTGATGCGTGTTTTGTGTGTGCTACGTTCTGTCATAAATCACAAATGTTTTTAAATCTTCAGGCTCCGAATGGGTGTTGGAGGATACTATTCACTTGAAAAATATTCATCTCCCCAAGATACGAGTTGACAATCACCTTGACTTAAGCTATCTCTACGACCAATCCTTCTTGCAGTCTAAACAGCAGCGCATTAATTCTTTAATGCGAGCATTTTCATCCACAGAAGACCTTGAGTCGCGCACACCTCACAAGAATGGAGAGCAAAATACTCCACCAATATTAGAACCCCCTAGCAGTCTTCATAAAACTGGTGCGTGCTTAGATGAGGGCTGTGGATGTAAGTTTATCACCATGAGGTGAATTTTATTTCTTTTCGCATTTTTGCATGCGAATGGAATGATTGGAATGGGGAGGATATTCTGTTTTATTTCCATGAAAGGTGTCTAAGTGAAAAGTATGGGATGTCCATCGTACGTGTTATTCAAGGTTTTAGTCTTCATCACTGCATGAAAATTGTCAGTTTGTATTTCGTCTGGTATGACATTTTACTATTGGTAATGAGATATGGTCATCATAGCATGTCCATTGTTATGCTGGGATTATTCACTTTTCATTTTGTTTCCTACTATCTTATTCCTATTTCTCAATCATAACTCTTTAAACAAAACAGAAAAATGTTCATAACAATTGGCAAAGAGTTTAATTTTGTAATGTACACTGTTATAGTTAGTATTGGTTGGTTGATACACATGAAGCTGCAGCCAGCTCATCAGGCTCATTTAGCATGTAAAGTTAAAATCTGATCCTATTGCATGCCTATGTCATGGCTAATTTGAGATTTGGACAAAATTTTGTTTTGTGGGCATGGCATTGTCTTGATGTGGTGGTAGAGGTTTCAATTTCCGGTAAATTTGTAATGAATTATCAACAGGCTTGAAGATTCCACCTAACAATTATGTGAATTTAATGCCTAATGTATTGCATGGTTTATTCGCAGGTCTTCTTGCAGTTCCAAGCTTCAGCACTCTACAATCACTACGAAAATCCATCATTGATCATGGAAACACTTGCCCTCTCACACAGAAGCACTTAGTTCAATTAGATTGGGTATCTAAAGAAGATGGTTCCCACATTCTCACTGTAGGAGTTGGTAGCAAGGTAAGGATAATACACATGCTCTTCAAAACTTATAGTTTGAGAAAAAAAATATCAATTTTACTCTGGAGGGACAGTTTTTCTGTATTTTTTATTTTTTTAAATGTTTCACTTTACTAGGTGATGCTCTTTACTCCTGTGTCAAGTGATCTGGCCCAAGCAAATATGAAGGCAATGAAGGAGTCACAGTCAACCAACAGACCTATTCTTCGGAAAGCTTCCTCTCTTGCTGCCCCCAATTTTGTGGACGAAATAAGGTATATCATACTGCAAGATCATTTTATGGCATGTGAATATTTCTTTACTAACTTCATAATTTCAGGTGGATGAAGCTTCGTAAAATTGACCTGACCACAGCTGATGGTCTTCCCCCACTACCTATGCAAATTTCTTGGGTTCGTGATGGGATTCTTGTTGTGGGAATGGACAGTGAAATGCATGTCTACTCTCAGTGGAAACCAGATTGTAAGAATTGGTCAACTTTTGTTGTGAGAATCCCAACTTCACATTTGCCTTTTTTTTAAAACTTAATTTGCTATTTTCAGGTGCAGATGAATTTGGGCCCATATCTGGTGGCCGTTTAACTCACCAGGAATCAGATGAATTTCAAGACACTCGTAATTTGCGTGATGAAGACTTACGCAATATTGCACAAGTATGAATACTTAATTAATTTTAAAAAATCTAATTTTTGTACTCAAAGTTTGTTACATTTGTTGATTTTTGTATTGAATTGTAAATTATTCCATTAGGAGACATCTCAGCGAAGACTTGCAAATGTCAGTTCCATGCCACACCTATCCCGTGTTAGCTCTATTAACTTAAATATGCTTTCATCTGACACTAAAAAGAGGAAAGGTTGGTGATTGTTGCTGTACTCCTCAAAGTAAAGTTTGCCAAACTTCAGTTCACTTTATTGATCACTTCTATTTCTGCAGGTGGTGCCGCAACTCAACAAGAACCTTTGACAAATGTTGATTATATGCCTGACTATGGACTATTTGAAGCTAGTCGCATTGCATGTCCTGTTCTTCCCCAGTATCATCCTAAGCAACTGATGGAGCTTTTGAACTCAGGAAAAATTCGCTGGGTAAAGGCCATTCTGGCCCATCTTGTCAGGTACCATTCCCTTCTTTTCCTTTTAACTCTGTTGTGTAAATAAATGTGCCAAAACAATTATTATCATCAACTTGTAACTTCTAGGTGCATTTCTGGAACGTATGCTGTAAGAGGACAAACCGTTTGTTCAAGTTCCGATGAGGAAAGCATTGTTCGTCAACGTGGTTGGTCTAGGTCGCGGACTCTTTCCGTTAGCTATGCCGGCACTACAAGCCCCCTTGAGCAGAGAGGTTCCACCACTGCCATTCCAGAGGAGTTAACATTGGACTATGCTGAGATCACCTCCATTCCTCCCCTGCCCCTTTGGACCCTGTTAGCTGCTGATAAGGAAACTGCTGGAAATGCTACTCAAGGAAAAGATGATCAACAGGTACCTAGGTTTTCATAGCCCTCTTCTTCACCTAGAGATATTTGTTTTTTGACCTGGTTCTTTCATGAGAAAATGCTAAGTACCGTGATTATCTTCTTCACAGGACTACAATGAGCTATTTGATGCTAATGTATCAATGGGTGATGAGTCCTTGGATGACATTTTGGAAGACGAAATGCCTGATTCACCTCGCCGACGTGACAGACGTCAGTCTGTCGCTCAGGAAAGACAAGGGCTGTCTCACTTTGGTCCTAGACAGGGAAGAGTTTTGTCGCGTCTACTCACTCACACCCATCTTCCGGGATTGTCAAGTCTAGATCAGATGCACTTGTTGGCTTTAGCTGATACTGTTTCAACCTGCAACACTGATTTTGCTGAAAGATTTGCCATTGATGCTGCAAAAACTGCCATTGCCAAGGAAAATCTGACTGGTGTCCCTGAGGGTGAAGAAGTCTCTACAGGTAATGCAATTTTTATCTGTTCACTTTCTACTTTCAATTCTTGCCAAAGTTTGAAGAAACTTCAGCTCAAAATTATTTTAAAGATGTGATATATAAGGGATACAAAATTTAAAAAAGGAACTAATGATAAATGACAATCTTATCTTTTCCAGATTCTTTGGATGATTGTGGACTGAGGTTTTTGTTAGCTATGAAGCACTACAATTATTTGCTCCGCTGCTTGCCTCTTGTTCAGAGAGCTCTTTTCCAGAAACAGGGTGTCAGCACCACTAATCTTGTTTGGGCGTATCATTCTGAGAGTGAAGAAGAGCTTCTTCAACTAATACCATCTTATGCCAAAGGACAGCCCCGCTGGAACACATTGAAAGAGCTGGGGGTTGGTTGGTGGTTAAGGAATAACACAGTGCTTAAAACTTGCATTGAGAAAGTTGCAAAGGCTGCATACCAATCAAGTCAAGATCCTCTAGATGCTGCTATCTTTTACTTAGCTATGAAGAAAAAGAGCTTGGTTTGGGGCTTATTCCGTTCAAGACGTGATGACCGTATGACGGCATTTTTTGCCAATAATTTCGCAGAAGATAGGTGGCGTAAAGCAGCACTTAAAAATGCATTTGCACTTTTGGGAAAGCAGCGCTTTGAGCATGCTGCTGCTTTCTTCCTTCTAGCTGGTGCCCTTCAGGATGCCATTGAAGTTTGTTTGAACAAGTTAGATGATCTGCAGCTTGCAATGGTGATAGCTCGATTGTATGAAGGAGACATGGATTCTACTCCTCCAGGTGTCAAAAAACTCCTGTATGACAATATTCTTGGTTGTGATGGTAATGGAAACAATTTGAATCCTTCAAAAGCTCATCCTGATCCCTTCCTTCGCTCCATGGCTCTGTGGACTCTGAAAGATCACACTGGAAGTTTAAATACTCTTTTACAAACTAATATTGGTTGTAATCATCCTAGCTATAATGATGAAGATAAAAGTGAAGGAGCTACAGGTAAGGTTTAGGTTAACATTCTGAAATAGTTTGAATTTACCTGTTATTTATTATTTGAGATTGACTAACTCCCTTTCTTTTCACAGCAAACCCAAATGTGTTCAATTTTTATGTCTATCTACGCACTCATCCACTGCTTATTCGCCAGTATCTGGCTAGTACTGCTCAGGACAAAAAGAAAACTCATGTTGTTCTTTCCGGCTTTACTTATGGTTCTGATACAAGTACATCTAATCCTGATAGACAGGTACACATTTTAAATATTATAGTTTTAATAGGCCTGTCTCTTTTCTTATCTTGCCTTGTTAATAATTCAGTTATTTTTGATTTTGTCTCACAGTTACTGATAGAGGATTCAATAACTCCATTGGAGAGGCAACTCTACTTCACCACTGCTCATGCCCACTTCAAGGCTGGTTGTCCTGCATTAGCTCTGGAGGTGTTGTCGAAGCTGCCCAGTAAAGTGATGGATGCTAATGGCGAGGATTCTCCAAGTGAGTACTATACATTATGTGGCAGGATAGATTGGGGAGAGGCAATTAGGAGGTTTTATGAGAATATTGCAGAGCTATTTTATTTTTTTGAAATACTTCATCACATAAGAAATTTCTTAATCTAGAGCTTCTTCAAGTCATTTGTGAGGAATGTTGGTCCATTTATTTCCATACCATCTTGGAATGTGTTTTGGATTTCTTTTGGAATGCCTTTAGCTTGACTAGTCCAATTTATTCACCTAGTCCAACCCATGATCCTACTGTCCTGAAGAAACCAGGATTTTTACTTTTAGCCATTGCTGCAGCCTCCATTATTTTAGTGTCTTCCTCAAGGAAGAATTCTCTATATGCCATTAACTTATTGTAACCAATTTCTGTAACAAAACTGAGAATTTTTTACTGTGATCTTACATTAACCAGGGGCTTAAAAATGATAGCTAATACATTGGATCTTACCACTAAGCTCCTCAAGTGATACCTGCTGTCCTCCATATTCCTTTGGTAAAACTTCCTGAGGTATGATGTTGTAAAATTCTTGGAGGTTCTCTTCTCTGTAAGTTTTTATCTAAATTGTTTAAAAAAAAAAAGGATTTAATTATCAGCTCAGGGTGTATGTGAAATCTCAATAGATTACTACTGGTACTTACCAATTTGTACAGAGAGGACTTCATAAATGGCTTGAAGAGGGACAATATGGCATCAATTACAGCATTGGTGTATATCACATGTATTCCAACAACATTGATAGGTGCACATTCCTGTTGAGGAGAATCTGTATTATGGTGTTGCAATGTTGTTGTTTTTTTTTCAGTCATGTCTTGAGTAGTAGTTTGTACCTGAACATAATGAATCATGTTCTTCAGTGACGACAGGGAACCTCTTGCCATATGACTTAAACCAAATCCTCTTTGGTCATAAACAAGGACTGTTCCTTGAGCTGTCCCATTCTCCAGTTGCCAAATAGTACTTAACATGTGTGACAATTTCACTGTTAAGTCCATGTTGTAGCAAGCTGGATTGGTGTCTATTAGCCTTTGAAAAACAACAACATTTCCATTTCTGTCTCTACCATCAAGTATGACTATACCCCTGGAAAAAGTACAGAATTTTATTACAAGAATCTGAGACACGTTATTTGTAAGGAATGTGGGCACTCACACTGCTTTGGCAATTTGTACTATCTCCTCATTGCTTGGGTCTCTATTTAGACATATTTGTGGAACGTTATATTGGAAATTGTAGAATTTTAGCAGTGTTTTCTTGGCTATTTCTATATCATAGAAACAGCAGTGGATGAAAAGCACGAGCGTGAGATCTGTTGATAAAGTTTGCCAGTTCGATTTAGGAAACAATTCAAGAGAAGTGTGCTGCTCGGAACATACTGTTGGCTCCAAATACTCACCTGTGATATCTGGCAGCTGGGTTTGAGTCTCTACCCACTCGCGCATTGCATCTATGTCCTCTTGTTTGAGCTGCGGATTTTTCCGCAGCTCTTCTTGAACTGAGGCGCGCTTCATTTCTGTGACCATGACCGTCGATCTGCGCCTGCGGAGATGGAGAGATGCATGCATGAGTCTGAAGGAGTGCCGTGAGCTCCTTACGGTACGGGCTCTATGGAGCGCCCGTCTGGAGTCGGTTAGGCCAGCCCGCAACGCACCACGGCTCTACAGAACTGCCTACCTCGCCGGGCGTCCGAAAGGAAAAGAAGGGTGGGGGTAAGGGGGGGGGGAGGAGTGTAGGTAGTGTACGGTAAGGACAGGGAAATGGGCCGCTTTGGGCCGCTTTAGCCCGATCAGTTAACGAACCCTAACCCACCCCAACCTCTCACCGCCCTCGCGGCCCCGCGTGCACTGCCTTGCACAGTGCGCGTAGTTGACGTAAGGTTGGCAGCCCTCCCGGTCGCAGCCAGGGGGCGCTGGTGAGGTCGAGGTTTAGCCCCCCCCC